GGATGGAGTTCTTAGTTATTTACTAACATTTTTTTTATACAATTCTTCTTTATGCTAAGTTGATTTACATGCAAACTACCCAACGAATGTCTGTCAGCATAACACCACGTCAGATTTTATAGGAGGGGTAAAAGGTCGGGCGATTTATGTAGTTTTTTAAGAACACTATTATAAGTAGACATCGGAATTTTAGGCAAATGACTTTCATTCTTTTGACTAGACACTCGAAATTATTTATGTATACATTTCATTTACACATAACTTTACAATATTTGCAGTAGTTATTTAAGCTTCAGAGCTTCTATAACGTATTCCTCCGTTAATTACTTCATTTTTGGATTTTAAACATTATATTGGCTATCATCCTAAGGAGAGAGAATTTTGTTCTTGAAATATCTTTTTTATCATTAGCGATTGTCTCAAATTACAATAAAGCTAAGATTAGCATATTTCGTAGGAATACTCTTGAGTTGAGCATTTCTTTTGATCTCTATCTGAGACGCTCAAAATTCGATAAACTATTCAGCCAATTTACATCTGTGAGGATTATTGGATTAGAAAAACTAATATTCAAAGAAGTAAACCAATCTCAACATAAGGATGTTCATATACTAAAAGGACTGTATGATAATGTCCTTTCAAATCTCCAAAAGACAAATTTATCGAACGAGAAAAAAGAAATTAAAAAAAATAGACTATAGTGGATTCGCTCTGCATCAACAATCTCTAACGGGTGAAACTGTGCAAGATGGCACAATTAGTTCACTGCTAATTATCTCCAAAATGAAAAGTGCAACCAACACACGTCTTCTAATGTTGCTTATAAAATGAATTAGAATAAGACAGATTCTAGCTTCATAATTTAGAAGAAAATATATTGAAGGAAATATAACGCCTATTTTCACCTCACAAGGGCCTATTTTATGCTTAAAACTACCCCTAAATGCGATATTTTAGAGCCTCAAATTCGAAGTCTGATAATAAATATTAATCCAAAAAGAACGAAATTATAAACTTCTTACAATACGTTCTCTCTTGCGTACGTTTGGGGGACATTTAATAGGCACAGAGAGATTTTTCTGATATTTTACATGACGGAAGTGAACACAAATGCGTGTTTCCTTAAATGGAAATTGCTGTTTGCGCGACTGAGTAAACTACCTTTGTTAGATTGTTTGTACCTGTAAGAATATTTCTTGCATCATTCTGTTCTGTAGATTTACTTATTACAGCAGCGGCACCAACAGCACGACTATTAGTCATTTATTGGAGTTCAATTATAGTTCAATTAAACTGTTTGCCTCTCTGTGAGAAAACTTTTTTGAATGAAAAATTCTTTCTTTTTTGGGTAGTAGAGTGTGTGATTTCGCAGTTTGTACAATTGTGACTTGGCATTTGTGGAATAATACATCTGCTCCTCGATATGGAAAATTATAATCGCCGCGTGTGCTTCATGCTAAAAGTCCGTGGACCGCAAATGGGTGTTCTTGCCAAGAAAAAGCAGGTTTCTTTTTGTTTGAAGAGTTGGCGGTGCCTTCAAAAAATTCCAACTTATACTTACCTGGCTAGTCCTAAGAAGCTGCTGGGGAAACCCACCACGCTTTCTGCGATCGCTGGCCACACATTTCTTCATAGTACGCTTTTTGTCATTTTATTACGTTGTAATTCTTCTAAATTATTTGGTCCAGATTCATTGAAATCCGGTATTGCTTTGTGGAAAGGGGGAAAACCATCACCATTCTAGTTGTACACCCCAATTGGTCTTAATTTTAATCTTAGATCATTAATGTTTTTGTATAAACCTTAGCCTGTCAAATTATTAAATTGAAGCATAGAAAGTTTAACATTTCTATATGCTTCTGGCTTCTTCAACCATCAGAAAACTGAACAATCCAGAAAAGATAAAAAGTAGCAAAATTATGGTATTCTTTCAAGGTGAAAGTTTCTCATTATAGTTAACATATACAATACTACATTACCCTACTGTAGGGAACAGTCTTAACTACTTGTGTTGTTAGTCTCTAGTCTTCAAGTAAACTCTTGAAACTCGTGGTAAAAAGTTCCGATAAAGATGATTTGTACTTGTAATGTGGAGAGTACTTTACACAGATGTGTGCTGGCCTAACGATGGTTTCTTCATCCATTATTCTTACACTAATAGTATAAAGTAAAGCGAAAATGTAAGGGCAGAGGCGTTGGTGCGGACGATCTTCTGTGGCGCCGTTTGATTTCAGGTGCTGAGGAGGCCAAGCACTGGAAGGAGACGGCGGGACGCCCGCGCCAGAAAATAAAATAGCTAAAATAAATGTCGGATAGATTAGAATGTACTCGGCTTCTGACGGCAGGTTTTTCCCCCTTCAGGGGTTTTTTCCTGAGCCGTACCTTGTGGTCTCTTTTCCGCGGCTTTGATGCGATGAAGAGACCATTGGGGGTGAATACCAGAATTCGAAAGATTAGAACGCGAAAGGATGTAGGTATTGTAATGGCTTAAAGGCCTTCGGCCTAGCCACATAGGATCAAGTAATCTAATTTGTTTGTAATAATTACCTATTAAATAATAATAAAATAAAGTAAAGCCAGAAATGTGTCAAGTGTTTAATAGCCTAAGACTACTTGGAAATTCCCTGTTGAAATATATTCTTATCCTTGAAGTATCCTTTACAGATCGAATATGGAGCTTGCCTGGCCTCGAAAGTTTGAAGTAAACACATCTTCGGTCATGAATGTCGCACGGAATCATGGTTCCGATCTGTTCTTGCGCAGCATCCCCGCAACGACCCTCAATCCTCTTTATCGATAAAATCTCTTTCCAAATGTAATTTAGTCCTCCGGGTATTTGCTCACTTAGCATCGCTTCCATTCGAACGTGTTTTCCCACTGGGTTTTTGTTGTTTTTTCTCCAGTTGGACTTGGCTCGACGCCTACATTAACTTGTTCGTTGGTCTCATTTACTGAGGCGTTAGAGCCTCCGCGCCCAGCCCCTGTTTTTGTCTTCCTCTCCGCGAAGCTCATTGGATCTGCCAATTACCTCGAGCTCGTATTACTGGAATTAGCTGAGAGGTTCTGACGTTGTTATGTTATGGTGATGCAATGGCGTGTTTGCTGATGCGCGGATAAGCTGTCCACTGTTTCGATGCGTGCTCACAGCACCGTTACTTGGGACCACGTTGTGGATCCGTGTAGTATTGCCCTACAGTTCATGACCAGTTAGGTTCGTCTTCTGATCGATGATGGATTTCGCGAAAATGATTTAAATTGTAGTTAACCAATGGTTTGTAAAGGACAAAGTGATTTAATTTACTGCTTCAATGAATTATTGGCAGCTTTTAAGCGTGCGATTTTCCAAAGCATCTCGCATGCGATAGCGGTATTGGACAATGTTGAATATCGAAGGATATTTCTATTTACTTGCTTTTTAACTGAATGTGCCGAATCAATTTAGAGAAGACCTGAGAATACGTAACGTTAAATTTTCCTTCATATTATTTTTATCGACGATTTGAAGTTATAATGTAGTTTACCTCGCAGCGCGGGCAGGAACTGCAAATGGGAAAAGTACTAATCGTTCGCGTATTGATGATGCTGGTTTGCGTCTAATTAACGAACGTGTATGGGTTAATTTAGCCTTGTTACGCTTCTATGAGAATGTAATTTCCAGCGGGATTAAAGCCATTTCAAAATTTGTTTATAGCTAATTAAGACACAAATACATTTACCGTCTAATATGATGAAAAATCAGGTGTAGCGAATCTTAGTACGACATGAACGGGTCCCTAATTACCAATTTTTGAGCGCAGAAGCGTTGCGTAGTTATGGGCGTGCGAGCCTTTTTCACACATTTCCGTTTTGTATTTTAATAGACTTGCACGCATCATTTCCTGAGACATCGTGGAGCGAGACGGAAGAATAATGAAGATGCTGTCACGGGAAAGTTGTTACGCAACAGCTCGCGTGTGAAACGCTCGACGTACAAAACGCACAAAAGCAACGTGCGTTCTGAGAGCGGCCGGCGGAGGCTGCAGGTGCCCGACCTTCGCGGAAAGTCGTAGACTGCGCGAAGTGACGCGCGTGTTCTCCGGAAGCTGCGGGAAGCCCCTCGCTCTCAAAGCTTCTGGTTATCGCCAATATTCGAAGTAGTTCTGCCGCGGTCGCAGCAACGTGTAGTTTCAACTTCATTCATTTCCTTCGCTAGCAATGAGTCACGTCATCTGCTAAGAAGTTGGAAATGCGTAATGCGATCGGAGGAATCGTGTAATGACGTGAAAGGTGATGTGAAGGACAGTTGGGTTATAGGAGCATTTTTATGACAAGTAATCAATGGTAGTTTTCCTAAAGTTGACACAATTCATGGTACTTAATACACAATGTTGTCGATACGTAAATTTTACTCCGCTTCAAACATGTATGGTTTATCCTTATGAAATATTATTCCGAAAATTTAAAAAAATCACGATCACGAGTATTTAAAATACTCAGGAGACGTTTTTATTATAGGTACCACGATTGTTTTGGAATTTGTCGATAAATCCCCCGACTCCCGAAGCGAAGAGGGGATTTATCTGAAAATTTCCAAAGCACGAGTTGTATTTAATAGGACCATTCCACGAAAGCAATTACACCCAACAGAGATCCAAAATGCACAAAGAATTGAAAATAACTGAAAGCATGTTAGAATCGAAGAAGTTAATTTATATTACATACGCGGTTTACAGTAAATCTACACAGACATTGATACATACCGCTTCCTAAGATAAAGGAATCGCAGCTTATTATTGGCCAGTCGGGAGGAGCGGTAAGAAAAATACGAAAAAGCTGTTTTTGATAGATACACCGACCTGATTGGGACATTTTATATGTACAGTTATACATTATTGGTTTTAATTTCACGAGTGAAATAATGTCATTCTAATTTCAGTAATTTTATTTTTTGTATTCGTTATATTATAGTTTGAATTCCCCATATGACTTGTGCTAATTGCGCTTTTCTTGTGCTCGTTTTCCAGAGGCACCATGCACGGAGACGGACCCCTCGCCAAGGAGGGAGCGGCCAAGGACGACGCCCTCCACGCGTAAGTGCTCCCGCCCCGTCGCCCTCCCCCTCCGCCACTCCCTCACGGAACGGGACGGGATGCGTTCCCATCTGCGCAGTGCGGGAGGCCTCTCCCCCGCCGGCTACGCGCTCCGGCACGCGAAACCAGGGCGCGGTCAGGGCTGTCGCCGGCGGTGGCGTGTCCGCTCGTGCGTACCAAGGCGAGCAAAAAGCGCGGTTGTGGAGGAATATCTCTACTTAATAAGAGTTCTAATTGGTATTTTAATAACTCGATGGGCGAGACAATATTATTTTTGTCCGATGTTTATCATGATTCGACCTTCCTGGACTAGCTTTGTCTAACCTCATGTTTTCGGTGATGCCGTCATTTTCGCTTCTGGCTGTATGCACACCGCGCAGTGCCTTTGACGCAAGTTAGCGCGACAACTCAGTGGGGACATTAGTTATTAGCACCGTGGGATAGCACGACTGTTATATTATGTTAAAACAGCAAATGTTAAATCAGTTGTTCAGAATTTTTTCTCTTATCCGTACCGTACTATAAATTGAAAAATTACGATCTCTCCGACAGTAAAACAAAGGTCTCCTCGAATACGAAAGGCTCAAAGTGTTTCCCGCTTGGAAAGAAAAATACGCGTTATTTTGGACCTAACGTTAATGCACTTATAGTCATTTATTTTCAAGCTCCCCTGTTCTCTTGCACCTACGAGCCCACAATTATCAAAATAAAAAAAATCATTTAAATGTTTCGTAACATTACTGAATATACGTAGATGTAGCTGAAGATATGTTACCGTTTATATTCTTTAAATATCACTTTCTCGACTCTATATTCTGACACTTCTATGGTATTTTGCAAAAGAATTGACAATTGAACAGTGAACTATTTTGCATGTCTTGTATATACTCAGAAAAAGTGGTTTCCGTTTCGACAGTAAAAATAATACGACATAAAATAACAATATAGACATGTAGAAATGATAAAATCAACAAGTTAATTCAAAAAGTAAAATGTTTACAATGCAAGTGGAAATTGAGAAAAAAATCGAAATTTGCTTTGTTTCGTGATGCTGTTACTAAGGGCTAATGTTTATCTGAAAATCATGCATTTGGGTCACCATGCATCTGGAAGGCACCTGGCAACTGCCTCTGCTTACTCCAGAACTTTACATCAGCCGTGCTATAACAATGTTGCTCTGTAATGCAGACTTCTTGGAAGTAGAAGAAATTTCCACTCGTGAATCACAAACCAAGTGCAAAATAAGAGGAAAAGCTAGCATGTCTAATACATACAATTTAAATGATGTTGCTCCTTTTTGTGTTGAAAATCTATTGATCGAATATGTCTACTCCCAATGGCAGCCCGCCCCCGCTGGCGTATCGCGCAGACTCACTGTGACTGCGCGTTTGTTCTTCACACAAGGAAGCCAGCGCGTCGAGCCTTGAAACGCCCAAGAAGTTGCTGGGCAATTTCGCGGGAGGTGTTGTCATTCGCTGGTGTTTGCTTTGCCGTCGGACCTAAGGTGGCAGAGCAGGGTCCGCCGCGTGGCGTTTCGCCGACGACAGATCCGATCCTTTGCGGGAGCGACCGCGCGACCTTGCGCGGTGACAGTGACAGTGACAGTGACAGTGACAGTGACAGTGACAGTGACAGTGACAGTGACAGTGACAGTGGCAGAGCGCGGCGCGGTGGAGGGTTGCCAAACGCCTACCCGGCCAAGTTCATGTACATTCGGAAGCCTGGGAATTTGCTCACCTTGGATTTCACCAATATATTCTGTCAAGACAAGTTGCCGATTGGTTTGTTAATGGTCGGAACTATTTTGCATCTGCTAATGGGTGAAGGTAACTTAACTTAGTTGGTCATTAAAATTGGATGTCCGAAATTTTAAAATCGGTTTAAATATTTTCAATCTCGACAAAATTATGTTTGTTGGTAAACATTAAATTTTATTTTAACTGGATTTTGAAATTGTTATTCCGTAAATGTCTTGCCTACCCACGACCAATGACACATTTCGAGAGAAAAATATTTAGTTAAAAAATAACAAGATCAATTATTTCTAAATTGAGAAGAAAATGAAAAGAACGGACTCGTTGTTGTGGTACCTCAATTGAGGAGCTCGCATAAGACTTTCATAAAAATGTTCACGAGATCCACGTGTAAAATTGGTTTTAATTCTTTCCTAAATCACTTACTCTTTTCTTGTACTAACTCTCTTAATGATAAATGATAGATGCAGAAGATAATTAAATCCTATAAACGAGAACCAAACCGCTCAAGTGCTCTTGAAAGGGCGACTGCGAGCACGCGCTGTTTGTACACAACGAAGTGCACCGGCATTTTCTCGTGAATTCCGAGGCGCAGTGCGTGCGTCGTCCGTTCTAGAGTGACTCACGGATCCTAGAGTTTACAGCGCTTCGTGCGTCGCTCGCCGCCGTCACGAGCCCTTCCATTTGCTCGCGTTCTCCAAGGCTTCCGCTTCCACGAGGGAAGTACGGAATTGACGGCGAGCGTGTTGTACGTTGATCAAAGTGAAAATAGGGTTGCATAATGGAGGTCGAGGGGTTTCCTCGGAGAAAGTCATTATTGTTCAGTTTCAGTTCCTTGATTGGTCTAACTCACCGGTTGGCAGTGCGAAGTTGACATTTTGTAAATGACCCTTTCAGTTCAGTTTTTGAATGTTCATTTTCTGAACGAATTACCGAGAAGCCCGCGTGTATCTGAAATAGTTAAGTACTTGCGAAAAGCGGCTGTAGGTTCATAATCAAAACCTTTCTGTGAAGTTGTATACCTCTCCTTGTGCGGATTCCGAAAGCCATGGTCTATGCTTCCCTCCCAAAATCTATTTTTTATTTTTATAAAATTACTAAATTCTGAGTCTTTTCCAACCAAGGATACTTTTTTTAGTTCGAAATTACACGTAAATTGATGTACATGTTAAAATCAAACCTTGTTCCAACCTGCTGACCCTGATATTCTAATATCAGCAACTCTGGGCATTTGGGGAGGGGTGTACGAAATCGCTCTCAATGACAAAGACCCCAACAAGTAGTAAAATATCAGAAAACTTTCTAGCACACTTTCTATAAAACTACATTAAACATAAGTAATAGTAAATAAAATATTAAGTGGCATTACTCCTAATAATTATTTTCATTTGAGAGCGTAGGCTTCCGCGGCCGGAGTCTGCATTACGCCCTGGACGCGGCGTCACCCGGACAGCCAAGTAAATAATAATTTTCAAGTTAACGAAGGATGTGACGCTTATATGGCATCGTCAAGTGACATCAGTTGTATTGCTTTCGTTTCTATTCAAGAAGGCGACCTTTAATCATCTTGAACTCTCCTTAAGCTGAAAAGGCTATCAAAGCTGGAGATTGCGAAGATAAGATCCCAATAAAAGATATATTGTGAAGTCACGCTGACAATATTATTCACAAGCTTTAGAAACTTATTGATCTATTAAGAATGAAATCATGGATACAAAACGATAGCGCTTGATATCTTATGTGCGGAAGAGACGTTTCCATTCAATCTCATCCGAATATTCATAATATCTTATGCATTAATAATATTTATTTGTTTTATTAAATTCATAGCAAAGCGCTCCTAAAATTGCAATTACACTTATTGAATTTTTAAAATAAAAAAAACTCCATTCGTATTACATACTGAAAGCGTATAAGCATGCGCTGACAAGGCGGTGAGCCCTGCCCTCCACCATGCGAAGTGCCCGAAGGTACAACGGTGCACGAGGAGGAAAACTGCCGAAAACTTCTACCTGCCGTGCCGGCTGGCGAGCGACCGAAAGGGCTTTTCCACGCCTGCAGCAACTGGACACGTGGTTACACAACTTCTCGCCTCAAAAGAAACTCTTTGATATTCCCGTAACTACAATATCGGTAGCACTTGTTTGGAGCATGCTGCATAACGGATGGGAACGTGAAGGAAACTTAATACAGTTCGTTTTCGTAGTTTAGAAATAGTATTAAGACTCGGTGAGGAAAAGGATTTCTGGAATATACGCGAAAACAGCTTTCAAATGTGCCAAATGTCTTTTGAATGTCCTTTAAACATTTTCTTGCTATTGTTAAACAAAACTGAGAGGTAATTCTTTAGAAAAACGAATTCAATGTCTTTTAGTCTCGCGAAGTCATCTGAAAAGTGGGGCAGCTTTAGAGTTTTGTTTCACGCTATTTCCGAACCTGTCGTAAACATCCCTTGAATCAGGATGCGGAGGTTCATGTGCTTGCCCCGTGAATAATTGGCGAAAGAATTTTCTCGACGTTGCAAAGCAGTTTTCTCATTGCAAGATGAATGCTCTAATTGAGTGTTCTTGCCTTTGATGGCAGAGATAAAGAAGTTAATATGGATAGAATCTTCAAGGATATCCGTGCAATGTGCGTTGGATTTTCTTAATACTAATTGTTAGGTTGTAAAGCTCACTTTCATTGCTACTCATAGATTTTCAAAAGATGAACCGAACGTTTCTAATGATAGTGCTTAAATAAATTATGATCAAAATGAGTTCTGTATATACACGCCGGAGAACTGACTCTGGGATCCGATATAAATTCATATCTTACTTCAGCACGCTGTTGGAAACTTACCAGAATGCTGCCACTTATTGTGCATTTTAATATCACATAGTATATATAAATGATGTTTTAATGATCTCTTAGGCAGACATTTTTAACCATTCGCAATAAACACATCTTCGAAGAGGCAATCTGGGTAACTTTATCATCTTGAAATTTCCACCATTTTGGGTTACACATTGTTTCCTTGTATTAATTGATCCGATCGTAAACATTTAGACCCCACACGAATTGTCCGCGTTAGCACACTACCCCCCCCCCCCCCAACGATTCACAGGTTTCAACTGTAGTATTAATCTCTTCTTCCGACTTATAAGGCCGAGGTGTCTAAATACCTGTAGACTCAGCGCTTCCATCAGAATAGTCGCGGGTTCGAGTCCCGCCTTGGGCATAGTTGTTTCTCCGTTGTCTCTCATGTCTGTGTTGTCGTAGAGGGCCTCGCGTTCTGCTGACCCCAGATTAGAGGAGCCTGCAAGTGTCTTGGTATCTAGTGTATGGTCGAATATGAGTTCCACCGGGACGTAAAGGATAACCGGCTGTAGGCTGGAGAAAGTTGTAGAAAAAAAAACTAATTTCTTCTAACACCCCCACATCACGTTTTATTTCGTAATAATTTCGGACAGTATCGATAAGGAATTTCGAAATGGAGAATACTGCATGCGCTTAGTCTCCACGTGCTGGACGGCGAGCCCTGAGAAGAAACGGGTGAATGGGGCCTCGAGGGCTTAGCGCGTGGCGGAGGGACCTTGGCCGTGGCAACGCTTCTCCCGGCTTGGCGACGGCGGCGGCGCGCCGCGGCGTCTGTCTCAACTCTCTCAAGGTGGCCCGCATTTCGCGACCGCCACAGCGCTCCCCGCCGTCTCCCTCGCCACTGTTCCGACTTGGCGGCACTTCAGACCACACGCTGCGGCCAAAACGGTAACTGCTTCTGGCCTCCAAAGTAGGCACCGAAGAGAAAGAAAATAATAGTACGTTTAATGGCACAATCAGGATATTTCAGGGGAGGGGATATTGAGATCAGCAGACTTTTTGTGTTAAGAATTTTGTATTTATACTAAATTTGAAAGTAACGTTTATTTGTCAATTTGCCGTATTTCTTAACTATTGAAAATTTGTAAAAAAATGTAATTATGTGTCGTCGGATTCTGGGGTTAGGGGCGGCGGTTGATGGCCAATGGTCCACCTCTCAATCCCCGTCGTCATTTATTATTTTCGACACTTTCTTCAAATAGTTCACAACTACCGCCAATCACGGAGAAAATGTTTGCTCATCGCTGGAACTGATTTTCGATCGGTGATTTGGTGAAATGGCAATTGTTCTGTGGTATTTAATAAACTTCGCTCTAGTGGAGTGTTCACATTTTATTAACACCTTGAATTTTTTCTCTAATCATCTCATAAATATGCTTGATATGAAGGAAAAAACAGCTATTTTATTTAGTAATTCACTAGTTTTTAAAATGTTGCTTTCAATGATGTTGGAAACATCTCTAATTATTAAACTCTTCAAATAAAAAAAGTTTTCTTGATATCGGAGTTAACTTTTTGTAATCCAAATCATTGGCCACATTTTACTTTACATCCTCATAATAATAATAATAATAATAATAATAATAATAATAATAATAATAATAATAATAAATATAATAAATTAAAGCGATCCATGAATATCAAAACTGTTAGATGTTTCTGGACTATTATAAAAAATGTCTATTTTTAACGCCCTCGTAACTTCGTTTAAGAGTAGTTAAATATACGAGGGAATTGTATTGCCTTACGAAGTTTCTTTTGTTGTTGCAGAGAATTTGTGCACCCAGGGCGAAGACGTTACTCAGTATTCAGCAAAAAGAAGAAGGATAAAAGCAAGAAAGAAAAGGAGCCATTTCTTGCACCGCCCATCTCATACCATCAATTGGTAAGTAGCTTTAAAAACTGACTCGGTGGATTATTCTAAACTTCTCGAGTTGAGATCGGAAGAAATTTTTCTTTCTCTTTCTTCGTGAAAAAGTAAGTTTGCTTCTGAATGCTCTTACTCTTTGATCCTTGATGCTGCAGAACATTATTCAGTTTACATTTTGTGTGTGACAAAAAAAGTGACACATCTTTATATTCGTGTTTCTTTTTGTTTCGTTTTTTATTAAAAAGTTATTAGAAAACCGTAGATTTTGAGTAGTGAAAATCTCACAAATGTACTATTGTCAAGACTGTTAATTTATGGAATAAATTTTTTGGTAGTAAAATAAACGACTCCACACAGCTTACACATTTATCTACAAAATGACAAACTTTTAGTTGTATGGCCTTTCTGGTGCACCGACTATCTATTATGTGCCCTAAAATGTCCGTCAACCTTCCTTCCACGCATGGCCTCAGGTAATCAGAGCCAAAGACCTCGAATAGATTAAAGGAATTTTTATCTAACATATATTTCTTTTGCACAGTTCTAAATTTCGCGGAAACGTACAAAGCACAGTAAAGATGTTGGCTCCCACGATTCTTTGAGACGTCAACATCATTACTTCCATCCTTCCATTTCCTTTCTGCATCACCTGGTTTGACTACACAAGATCCCAAACACAGTCCCGGAGAGTATAATTTATTTTAATTACTGATCCACAGCACTGTGTAGCTGTTGATGTTTTTACGATACCATACTGATCTTAACGGGTTAAAATAAAAATTGTTGAATATAATTTTGATTAGTGTTGTAAACATAAAATAAACGAAATGAAACCTAATAAACGTTATTGAAGGCATTGTCAAGAGGTTATTAGGATGCAGAGTGTAAACGAAAACAAATTTCATAATTTCCTCGAGTTAAAGAATTATGGTTCTCACGCATGTAAAAATTACCTGCAAGTGAACATTTTAGGCAAGTTAATATAGCCCCGACCAAGTTGACACTTAAAACCACTCTTAATATTTCAATTTAACACTATAACAGGATTATTTAATGCGAATGATTACATCTTCACACTCCTCGTTTAAAAGTAGAAGTCTTGCGCGACTACCGAAGGGGCACACTCCAGCCACGTCCTGGAATCCCTGGCGAAGTAAGCCGCTCGAGTAGTTGGGCGAGTGACTCGCCATGAACACAGGCTGCGTCTAGTCGCCGCTGGCCTCGGCGCTTGCTCCGGGAGATGCCACATGCATCTAATAGGATGGACGCGACGTGTCAAGCGAGCGATGTAGCATCGAGCTTAACTGTGCAAACTTACGAAGAATGATGAATAAAATCTGCCGCAGAAAATGTGACGTTAATTATATTTAATATATTTCAAGTTGATACATATGTTTCTGTAATTTTCTTCAGCTACCGTTCCTTCTCCCAAAAAGGATTTTTTAAGATGTACCATTTTCTTTGTGCGCATACTACTCTCCGTAATACTGTTTCAAAGTCGGATGTTAACAAGGGGCCATGTCATTCTGACGCCGCCTTCTAGTTTCCGTGGCATTCTTATCAGAAGAAAGAGGGACTCGATAAACGTTACAAACTTCTAGGGCGTCTTCACGTAATGATCACTTTTTGTTAAGGAGTATGTAGTTGGAATTGCATGTAACGGAGATACACTTGTGGCATTTGCCCCTGATTGTTCCGCAATTCCGTACGCACAGGTGTTCGGCAGGTCCATGGCATGCTCTTGACTGCCTAAGAGCGTGACCTGCGTAGCATCTGTGCATTAAGTTGCCTACCAATCGGGAAGCAAATGTCACACGTATTACTTTGTTAAATGTCATTTCCTACCACATTCACTTCGGCAAAAAGTTATCATTATCGACCGCTCGACATCCCCTAGAAGTTTGTAACATTTATCGTGAGGCACTCCGTGTAATCTGAAGAAAAGCAATTAACATTAAAACAGCAGTAGAGTCGATCCGGGTACCAGAGATCGCGAAGGCAGTAGTGTCGTAGCGGTTTCGGACCGAAGGATAGTGGGTTCGAATCCCGCCTCGGGCATGGTTGTATTTGTCTGCCCATTCATGTCCTACATCATCTGCACTTGCCCCCGGGAGAATATAACTGGGCCTCGATGGATTCAAGTGGCGCGTTCGCGTGCGTCTTAGGATGGCCAATTCGCGACCCCCCCTCCCCCCCCCCAAAAAAACAATACCTTAGAACAAAAATTAAGGAACTTGTGTGGGGGTGTCGAGTGTGGACACGGTGAGGGAGATGAAAGGAGGAAATGGTGACGTGCGTGGTTGTTGCAGTTCCGGTACGCGACGGGCACGGAGCTGGCGGTGACGGCACTGGGGCTGCTGGCGGCGCTGGCGTCCGCCATCATCATGCCGGCCTTCATCGTGCTCTACGGCGAGTTCTCCACGCTCCTGGTGGAGCGCGAGGCCAACGCCACGCTCTCCTCCACGCTGCTGCTCGACTGGTTCGGCGGCGGTCGGCCCCCGTGAGTCTGCCTTTACATCTGTGTGTGTGCGTCTGTGTGGGCTCAGTTTTCCTCGTTGCTTCTGCCGTTCCTTTTTCTGCGTGTTTCGCAGAATCCTTCCTTGGCCTTTCGAAGTACCACTTCTGTGCTGAAGACGGCATGAAAACACTATGTAGCAATTTGAATCGCACTGGGATGAAGACTCCAGTCTGTTCTACAGATTCCGAGACACCCTCTCCTCTCTAAAAAGGGATTAGATAGAATGGCTTCATAATTATTTTAATATAACTGGAAGATTTATTTGCTTCCGGGCTCAATAATTTAGAATAGACAGAATAGTTAAAAGCTCTGTTTGAAAAATTCATATTTGTGTGGATTTTTTTTTGAGGACCCACCTCTGACCTGTTGCTCTTAAACACATCGCCTAACCCCAAATCTTTACCCGGCCTTTGTTTGAGTAAAGGTCTTCCCGATTTCACTAGAAAACAAGAAATGAGTTATTAAGCGCGCTGAAATTAGGTTGATGTTTTAAAAGAAAAAAACAGGAAGAGACGGAAGAAGACGTAAATGTAGCTTCTTTATCTGTGCAAGACTTCAAAGAGTTCCGTGGGAAATATATTTTATTTAAATTATCGATCTCCATGCTGTCGTGACAGAAGTATATTCCTTCACGAAGGATATGATGAAGAATAAGAACCCAAATCTATTGCGAATTTTCCTTCAAAAATATATTTTATTACATCGGAGAGAATATTTTGTTAATAAAAATTCTTGGCAAAAATTCTCATTTCTTTATGTATTAAAGTTTCAAATTGTGTGTGGTTCAGGGAAGGAATTACAGGATTAAGATAACGTGCACTGAATACCTTCTTCCCGTACCACATCACAGTTTTACTGTTTTGACGAGAAATTTAAAAATAAAAATCTGGGCACAATTTATATTAATTTTGTAGCCATCTTCTACGACTTAAATAATTTCAGTTGTAAACACATTACGGTTTTACAAAGTTCGCATTCAAATGCACTGCGTACAAAGACGTATGTATTACAGTTACTCACCAGTTCGTGTAGAAATCATTGGACGTTCATTATACAACCAAATTGTTACAGTGTGCTTGCGCATTCATTTAAACGAAACAATTACATTGTTGGCCTCCTTCCGTTGCGTTTCCCGAACGAATGCGGGCAAGTCTTTTGCGTAAACTGGATCTTACGAAAACGCTGCTGCTGGTTGCGCCCTCGCGGGGATGTTGACGGAAGGATGCGCCTCTTCCACGATGAAAGCGCTGCAACAGAGAGAAAACGCATTAGCGCACCACACCACACCATGCGCGCGCTTGCAGCGATGGCCAAACAAGATTTCACAGAGATTCCCGATTTTACGCTCACTGAAACTAACTGCTCATGATGCAGATATGTCAAAGATCAAAATTGCCGAAAATGTTCGTAGAGTTAGAGGCTGAAAATCACAAGAAATTCTTTCAACGTTAAATATTTATTTGAAATCTGTGCGAGAAGTAATTAAGAGGGAACTGAAAGTCACGTCCGATTGGTCATTTTCTTCCCGTGACAAACGATGACATGAGTAAAGGAAAGTCTACGCAATTCCAGTGGCCTACATGAATAATTTTCCTCTTCGGAAGCCTCGAACGTTCCTCTAATTGCTCCCTGATCTGTTGCCACGTGCCTAAGCGTTAACTTCCGCGTGATGCCTTGTTGCCACAGCCTGAGACTCCTTTCATATGCAATTAGATTCTTTTCAAATATTTTGAAATTGAATTTTATTTCATTATGCACATGCCATTTTAGAGAGAACGTTGTAGGAATGGTGAGCATATTTGCGGGAAACGGGTGAAAAGTCAAATACATGTTTTACACACAAGAAAGACCAAACAATTTCCTACAAAATAAGACGCCTGACGCGGAAAAAAGACCTACATCCTTAAAGCACTGCATTGACGTTGGCGAAGTCTTTTATGTTACGTGATTTGGATACAGAACCTTGTCTTGTACATATCTTGTTCAAGTGGTAATACCTTTCAATCAACAAAGACCTTCCTTTGTCAATAACATAGCCACCTCAGAATGTGTGGAACGTGTCGGGAAATCGCATAACGAAGTCGGGCAACATTTGCCTCTGATTACTGATAGCCCAGAAATAACGTGTACGTTGATATTTTCCTAAATGCATGTGAACTAAAACAGTGTAAAAAAAAATTAAGAATTTTAAAAAAAGCCGTGGATTTTTAAGAGTGAAAAAATCTTCAGAAGGGAAGTAAAGCTGCACCATGTTCTAGATTTACAGCATATAAAAGATCCTCAAGCCTCAAAGAAGCTTCTGACCCAAATTCGGAATCGCCTGTTTCGTCGCCCAAGTGATTTTTCTTCTTCTTCTTTTTTCTCCGTTAGACGGTGAAAAGGTAGCGAAATTTGCGTGGTCAGGCGGACCTATTGGCTCGAATCTCGCCGCGTAAAATGAGGCATTAATTAACCGTAGCATTTTCGCGCCCGGACCTAATGAACGAACGCTGTGTGTGTGCTGCGCAGGTCGGACGACTCGGAGGCCGCGCTGCAGGAGGCGCGCATCGGCGACGCGGCCGCCTTCGGGCTGGGCGCCGCCGCCTTCACGCTGGCGCAGCTGCTGCTGGACGTGGTGGCCGTGACGCTGCTCAACGTCGCCGCCCTGCGCCAGATCGCCCGCGTGCGCGCGCGCTTCCTGCGGGCCGTGCTGCGCCAGGACATGGCCTGGTTCGACACCTCGGGCGCCGCGGGCTTCGCCAGCAGGCTCACCGAGTAAGTAGCTCGACGACGACACTTGCTATTCACAACGTCTCGGAATAAATGATGCAGACTTATATTGCGTTTGGAGTGGTGGAAATGATCACCTTTTGCCAATGAGCATGTTGAAGGAAATTTCATGCAATATGGATTAAACATGTGACATTTGACCCTGACTGTCAGGCGAGTGCGTCTGCACTGTCGTTCACCATGTTAATAAATCTTGTCCGCGCCACATCCATAACATGTCGAAATCCAGTGCTTAACAATTAGGGTCAAATGTCACATATGTAGCTCCACTCTATGAAATTTCCAAATCAAGAACATAACTTTATGAAAGTAACCTTTGGAATAACAAGTGGTGTTACAAAAAGGCACAGAACTAGTTAGTTTCAATTTTTGTGATCATTTTTTACTCCTCTACATGCACTAGATATTCGTTAAACTTGGTTTTTACGGTTTTGCAACCAAAAAAAGGCAATAATTATTAAGTATATATACACTCCAGGTCTTCAGTGATTTCACTAATTAAAAGAATAGCAAAAATGTTATTTATCACTGTAAATGTCCCAAAAACCTCAAACATTAACTTGAGTAAATTTCACTCATATAATCCAATTCTAAGGTTCCTATTCACATGCTTCTCTTGATTTGAGATCTCTCTTCACATTTTTTTCTCTGGATTGATAGGCATGAGAGTTCTACATTGCTCAATATTTCTTACTGATCTCTAATATTCTGTTTGATTTTTGTTTCCAGTGATTTGGACAAGCTCCAAGAGGGAATTGGTGAAAAACTCGCGATCTTCACTTACCAGATGGTGTCCTTTTGCACTTCTGTGATAATTGCTGCTGTGTATGGCTGGAAATTGACTCTTGTGGTCTTCAGCTGTGCTCCAGTTATAATCATTGCTACAGCTCTTGTAGCAAAGGTATGAATACTTGCATTATCTTGAAATCTTTTCAGTGTCATTGAAATTCAATCTGGCTCAGTTTTGAAGTTCACCATGCCTGAACAAAATATAAAATATTATCTTCACTTATCAATTGTAGTGCAATATTGTCCATGGAAATCTTTCAGTATTAAATGACAGATTAGGTGACGGGTAATATTACAATGACCTGGAATTTGGGGGCAATCTTTACTTTAGAAAGTAATTCTCATTACTTTCAGGCCAACTTACATCACTTAATTCAGTTTACTCTTGTGAATATTTTCACTTGCCTTGAATCTTTTCACTGGTTTCAATACAATGTGAAAGAAACCTGAAGTGAAGAATATTATATTCCTGAATAACCATACTTAGGTTCTCTTTTAAATTCCTGCATGCACAATTCAATCCAATGACTTTGCTTTTTAACTAATTTATTCATTTTTCCCCTTTAGGTTCAAAGCTCTCTTGCTGCCCAAGAACTTCGTTCATATGGTGCAGCTGGTGCTGTGGTAGAGGAAGTGCTGTCAGCTGTTCGCACTGTGATTGCTTTTGGTGGACAGAAGTGTGAAGTGGATCGCTATTCTGAAAAACTTCATCCGTCCAAGAAGATGGGTATTAGACGAGGCCTTTTTTCAGGATTGGGAGCTGCAATAATGTGGTTCATTACTTACTGCAGTTATGCACTTGCTTTCTGGTATGGAGTAGAACTTATTTTGGAATCTCGTGAGAATGGTACCATGGAATACACACCAGGAATTCTAATCATTGTAAGTGTTGATTTTATTAAATATAAAATCCCATGCACAAATAGAGTAATTTTCAATTGAGTTTTGCAACACAAGTGAAATGTTGAACATATTTTGTAATTCTGGAAAGTTCTTTGGTAAAAAGTTCTATATTACAGATCTTTAAATATGAAAGTCAGTTATCAAATTAAAAAATAAGACTTTATTTTTCTTAATATTAGCTTTGAATGCGATTGTGAAGTTTCTTATTTTCAAATCCTTACCAATTTTCCAAAAGTAATCTCTTTTGTAAGTCATCACATTCCTGCACATATTTAACATATCTCGCATATCTCTAAGAAGACATTACTTTTCTTTGTATGTGTAGATTTTGTTTGGCATGCTGGGTGGTGCTTTAAATATGGGTATGGCACTTCCATTAATGGAAGCATTCAATGTGGCACGAGGTGCAGCAGCCACTGTATTTGATGTCATTGAACGTATACCGGCGATTGATGCTCTAAGTGACAAAGGAGAACGTCCTTCTGAACTATCAGGAGATATAGAATTAAGAGGAGTGTCATTCCGTTATCCAGCTCGACCAGAAGTGCAGGTGTGTATCTATATTAGTATTATAAAAGCTTCCTTTGAAAAGACCCCAATCAGTGTTTCGTGAAAAAAGTAGTTAATAGTATTGCATGAATTGAAGTTCTTTGCACCTTTTCCTTTCAAAAGGTTGTTCAAACAGTTTCGTAAATTCATTACTCTTGAGGTATAAAGCTGTTTCTATCATTGAATAAAAAATAAGATAGTGTTATGAAGCAGCTGTGAAGTGAATCTCATTCTGAAGTCCATTAAATTTGTATAGTTTAATTAATTTTCAACCCCAATAGTAAAACTCAACAAATCTATTATTTTTTTCAGTTTTGGAGTTGATAAAGTATTTAATGAAACATTTTACAGTCTTCTAGATTCTCTCAGAATTTTTCATCTGTCTATATATTTTGTGCAATATAAGCTGTTAAATTGGAAGGAATTTATACATATTCATAAGATTTTTACAACCCTTTTCAACATAAAAAACTTGTAATTTTAGAAGTCAGTTTAGTTTTTGTGAATTTTCAGATATTGCAAGGTTTGGATCTACAAATTCAAAGAGGTGAAACGGTGGCTCTTGTTGGTGCTTCTGGCTGTGGCAAATCTACCGTTTTGCAATTACTGCAACGTTTATATGACCCTGAAGCTGGTTCTGTGCTCTTGGATGGACGTGATGTAAAGACTCTGAATTTGGGATGGTTACGGAGACACATTGGTGTGGTTGGACAGGTTGGTGTAGTTTTCTGGCTTAGACTGTTCCAACTTGCAATGAAATTAAACTCTTCATTATGATATGTGAATTTCTCATTAGTAATTTATAATTTTATTCAATTTACACATTGAAAATTTTGTAACTTGCTATTACTTTGTTAATATTTTATTCACTCTAGGAACCTGTGCTGTTTGCCACCTCTATTGCTGAAAATATTCGCTACGGGCGAGAGGATGCAAGCAAATCTGATATAGAAGCTGCAGCAAAAGAAGCGGGTGCTCATGAATTCATCTCTAGATTGCCCCAGGTGAGTCTTCTCTAAGTTCAGTATTTAGTTTCTTGTAACTGCTTTTATAATAGACCGCAATGTGTTAATTATTGACTCTTCAAATGCGAGACGACATGTGGTGATGAGTTACAAGAAATGTAGAGTTACGTTCAACTTTTTATTAGTATTCAATGTTTACATTACAAGGCTTGAATAGGATTTAGCATTATATTAATCATAATTTAATTTCACAAATGGTTCATTAAAGCAATGCAACCATGCGTAATGATAACATTCTTGAAGTGGTAAATTTCTCTCACCAGTTGTTTTTGTACACCATGATGATAATCAAACTCGTTCACTAGTGTAAGTTAACTCCTTAGCAAATTTCTCAAAATGTTTTGGGACTACCACTGACTTCCTTGCATTCCTGTTTAGGGTTACGAAACTGTACTGGGTGATCGGGGCACACAACTATCCGGAGGCCAGAAGCAGCGCATTGCTATTGCAAGAGCGTTAGTACGGGACCCCCGTATCCTTCTTTTGGATGAAGCAACTTCAGCTTTGGACTTGGCAAGTGAAGCACGGGTGCAAGCAGCATTGGAACGTGCATCTCAAGGTCGTACTACTTTGGTGGTAGCTCACCGTCTCAGCACTGTAGCAGGAGCAGATCGAATTGTGTGCCTTGCAGAGGGAAAAGTGGTGGAACAAGGAACACATGCTGAGCTGATGGCTAGTAAAGGCCACTATTATGCTCTTGTTACAGCCAACAGTGAAAAGGATGGAGGTAGGCATTGAAAGATTTCCATTAATGTAAATTGTGCCTATATAAAAAACAACAAGAATATGGTTTAAATTTTTATATTTCTTATGCTGGAAAGCAAATAATAATATTATGAGAAATGTAAATTTACCACTTGAATTGGCAGAAACCTTGTTTCATGAAAAATAGTTGCAGGTTAATGACTTTGTTTTTCTGAAATCTTCCAGAGTTGCGTATTTGCCCTTGAGTGAAACTACTAACTGACACAAATCTTTATAACATTCCTATTATTTTTTGTGGCTGGTTTATTAGTGTGTTTGAGGTTACAGTTTTACAAATTACTTGATGTTGAGTTCTGTCAATGTAATTACATTATTTTGTTAACACCCTTCACTTTAAACAGTTTTATTCATTTGTTAAATAGATAAATGAACTTTGTGTAAAGCTAATGTTCATTAAGAAATAATGATTTTTTTAGTCAATACTTTCGCTAAATATTTTTCAGATGAATACAGGATTTTGAAAAAAATGTATTTTCTTCAATTTTGCAGATGAAGCTAGTCAAGCGGCAGATGATTCAGAGGAGGAAGAGGATTTGGACCTGGCAGATGACAAGAGCAGTCCACTAAGCAGGCAGCAATCTATCACAAGTGCTCGAAGTGCTCGTAGTAACCGCAGTATCAGAGCAAGTATGAGAGGTCATCTAAAAGAATCGACACCATCCCAGGATATTGCAGAGGTAATGAAATTTCTTACCACAATCATTAAATGTATTTTATAATTAAGGAAGTTTTTAAGACTGTGAAGTATTGATGTCTTAAGGTAGTAAAGTGTAAGATATTGTCAGTTGTAACATTTCTTAGTTTAAAATGTCTATAACAAATTAATTTTGTGTTGTAGGAAGAAGACACCTCTTATCCTGCTCCTGTGAGCCGCATATTGAAACTAAATAAAAAAGAATGGGGTTACATACTAATTGGTTGCATAGCATCAGCATTAGTTGGATCTTCTTTCCCTATGTTTGCGGTGCTGTTTGGAGAGGTGTTCAATGTCCTTTCTTTGCCTGATGCAGATGACATTCGCAGCAAGACAAATGTATTCAACATTCTTTTCTTAGGAATTGGAGTCATAGCAGGACTAGGCAGCTTTTTACAGGTGAGATATTTTTCTCTAATTGAACGTTTCTTTTCAGTCAGATGTAGGTAAGTTAAATTTGCCATTGTAATAATGATATTATCTAACACATCTAGGGATGTCTTAAAATATTCTGAGGTAAATCAGTATTCATTCGAATAGTTGCTGAAATATGAAAATTGAAGTCTATAATATTATTTCATTCAAAACGATCAGAAAATAATTGATTACATGAATTAATTTTGATGAACAAGGAATAAATTTCAATTCTTGGCACTAAGCAGGAATTAACTGGTAGAAATTTAATATAAGTTTGCCTTATTTTCAGTCTTACATGTTTGGCATTGCTGGTGTAAGACTTACTACTAGACTCCGCATCGATGTTTTCCGTTCCATGCTGGAGCAAGAAATGGCTTGGTATGATGATGAGAAGAATAGAGTTGGTGCATTATGTGCTAGACTTTCAGGAGATGCTGCTTCAGTGCAAGGAGTAAGTTATTGTACATTTACTTTTTCAGTGCCACAAAAAAACTATAACAACAATAACAATAACAAAACTATAGGTTTTTAAATTACATGAGTCTATATGAAGGTAAACATTTTCATTCTCAAAAGATTGCACTTTAGTAAACGTTAAAATGTAAAATAAGTAATGTAATTTATTGTCAACTTCGGAAAAAGGTTTGTCATCATCTTCAGCTTAAGACACCCTGACTTTCTTAGTAAGATAATTCTTAGAAAATTGCTTTTTACTTCTCTAAAGAAATAAATGATTCTAAACTAGAATATTTATATCAAAATAAACTTTCAAAACATTCTTTATAATCAAATATTGTCATTTTATTTTGTTTAGAGAGCATAATACTTTTTTGTGACTATTATTTGTTCTTAATATCATAATGGAATTTAATTGTTTGAAATTGTGAAAATTGTCCTAATTTGTTTTTTCTTTTTTTCTTTTCTTAATAGGCTACGGGAAGTAGACTGGGATCCATTTTGCAAGCCGTGTCAACTCTGTTTGTGGGAGCAATTATTGCATTGGTTTATTCCTGGAAAATGGCCTTGGTAGCATTGGCTTCAGTTCCTGTGGTGTTTGGGTCTGTTTTTGTCGAGTCAAGAGTTATTCACACCCAAGGACTGGATGAAAAGTTGGCAGTTGAAAGTGCCACAAAAGTGAGTATGATTAAATGTGCAATGCCAATACCATTCAAAAGTACAGGGCAAACATTTTATTATCCTTGTGTATTCAATACTTTGCTTCAACACATACAAATTTCCACACCACAGTAAAACCTGACACACAACTCTACAAAATAACAAGTTAACCTTTACCAACCTTAGCTTAACCTGTAGTAATATCCTAAATTTAGTAATATTGTAATGCTATTTCTTTTGGTTAAACTGACTTTGCAAGACTATCATAGTTGTAACATGTTGTAGTAAGTTGTTTATGCTTAAATTCAATTGTACTTTCTTCTTACAGATTGCAGTAGAAACTATTGCAAACATACGGACAGTTGCAAGTCTTGGTGGAGAAGAAGCTTTCTTGCATAGGTATGAACTAGCCCTATTTGTATCTGGCAAAGCTGCAAGGAAGAAGTTGCGTCTTCGTGGCATTGTATGGGCTCTAGGTCAGACAGCGCCTCTCTTTGGTTATGCCCTTGCGTTCTACTATGGAGGTTACTTGGTAGCTGTGGAAGGTCTGCCTTTCAAGAGTATTATAATGTAAGTTCAATGGAGATTATTAGCTTGAATCATTCATTGTTTCTTTAATGCATTCGGTCAATCCACTCTAGTGTATAATTTTTTTGGATAAAAAATTGGTAGAAAAAACATATAGCTAGTATCTAAAATTAAATCTGTGCAATGCAATGAAAAGGGTATATTTTTCACTTTTTTAGGGTTGGAGAAGCTCTTATTTTTGGAAGCTGGATGCTGGGTCAGAGTATGGCTTTTGCTCCAAATTTTGGCACTGCGAAGTTAGCAGCTGGAAGACTTTTCAGCCTCCTGGATCGCAAACCATTGATTCACACATCACCCTCAGCCCAACCTGTCTCAAAAACTGTAAGTTAATTCGTCAAAATATTACTGATATAAACTTCAACATTGCTCTATTTTATTTTGTGAGATTTTACGTTATGATTGAATCTGAATTGATAGAAATATTGCTTTTGAGAATGCATTTCTTATGTATTGGTGCAGTAAACCTTGTTCAGTAACTTCTAGGAAAAATCAAACTACATTTTTGTTGTTTGCATGGGAGACAGTAGATGAAGGTCTAAAATGATGTTTTGTGTAAATCCATTAGCAGTTCATAGTTTGAGAATATTGATGCATAAGAGTGAAAAGACCTTCACATAATTTAACTTACGCATTACGAAGCAAGGCCAGTTTAACATAGCACGTATACCATGTACCAAAGTTCATAACATTTTGAAAATGTTGCAGAATATTAGTTTTTAAAGATAAAAATGTAGTTTATATTATTTAAATATAGTTCTTTTGTCTTGTATCTAGATATAGAACAATAATATGCAAAGTGCATTACAGATCTTGTTTTTATTTATGAAGGTCTTCAAAACGTTTTACAATTTCTTAAAAGTTTGCCTAAAAACGAAACGGTAATTTTCAAATAACCCTTTAGATAAAATAATATTTAAAATAAGTGGTAGAAACAATATTCCATTGCTGTGCAAAAAGTTGTGAAATTCAAAAATGATTTCTTAAGACCAGTGTCAGTGAATATAATATTTTTGCTTCTGATATAATTATTAAAACTTAGGGGAATTTTTTTTTCTTCTTTTTTTTTTTTCCCCTGCACATGCAATCTTTTTTCACTAAAAATTGACAAAAATTTTGAAATTTTATTGCCTTTGTGGACTGTTTATTACTGGTAGCAATTTGGGATTTAAAACTTAATTGCATGCATGTAATTACTATACAAGAGGATACAGGCACAATGTGCATATGACTGAAATATTTGTAAAATTTACAACTAAATTAAGTGTTGAAAATATTTTTGCAGGAGGGAGCTGCTGGAATTTCCTATGACAAAGTGCACTTCTTCTACCCCACACGTCCGGGTGTCCCTGTTCTGAGGGGTCTTAATCTAGAAATGAAACCTGGCACAACAGTGGCATTAGTAGGTCCAAGTGGGTGTGGCAAATCTACTGTAATACAGTTACTTCAACGTCTTTATGATCCTGTGTCTGGCACAGTGGTACGTATCTGCAGATATTTCATTAATTATTCAGTGTATTATTTAGTAACATCATTATTTTTTATATTAGAAGTTGTCAAATTGGTTACAATGGACTGTTGCTTCTTTTTAGTCACTCGATGAACGTGACACAAACTCCTTACCTTTGGATGGATTAAGAGCTCAACTTGGTATTGTGTCGCAAGAACCAGTACTGTTTGATCGAACAATTGCTGAGAACATTGCCTACGGAGATAATTCACGGGTAGTTCCTATGGAAGAAATTATAGCAGCAGCCAAGAAGTCTAATATTCATAGTTTTGTATCAGCACTTCCTCTGGTGAGTAGAAACTCCATATACTTTAAGGTAGATTAGAAACATTTTTCCCCAATACTTTCCTGAAATTCTGCAAAGTGATTTGAATTTATTTGTTTATTCTTTAAACTATTAATTTTAATGTGCAATATTTCAAAGAGTTCTTACAAAATAAGTTAAAAACATTGTGCTATGCAGGGTTATGACACGAGATTAGGAGGAAAGGGAACCCAACTCTCTGGTGGACAAAAGCAACGTATTGCAATTGCAAGAGCTTTAGTACGCAATCCACGAGTGCTTCTGTTGGATGAAGCAACATCTGCTTTAGATAACCAAAGTGAAAAGGTAAGTAATTTTTTTTAGAAGAAATAACAGAATGGAAAGAAAAATTTAAAGTTGAAGTTTTAAATGTGAATTCGAGAAAAGCTGTGTAGCTTTAGAGAAAATTCTCCAAAAAACACTTATCAGATAAATTCATCAAAATAGTTAATGGTATTTCACTCATCAATGGTATTTGACAGCAAGGTTATCATTCAGTTGAAAAATTAAAAACTTTAACTTTACTAATGGTAATTACTTGTGAGAATTAGCTAAGCTTTCTCCTTTGTGAACTTAGTGTGCCATACATGGGCGAGTTTCATCCATTACAAATATAATGAAAGAAAAAGAAAGTAATTAAGTTTAAATGAAGTATCCAAATATTACAAGCTTGTTTGAGTGAAACCTGACTTCCATAGTTTTGATGAGAACTTTGTCAAAGTTAGTTTTATAATTGACGATGTCCTTAGTGTTATTCAGAAGATGAAGACTTAATGCTGCAATATATCACATGGAAATAAAGTTCACTGTTCAAACAGAGTGATATAAAGCTGCATTCATACCAACTCTAGATCAGCATTACCCTTGTTTTATGCTTTATGCAGCCTGTGTTATTAAAATTAGTGTTTACTGGCAATGTAAATTGCAATAATTCAATCTACAAATTATCTCAATCTGAAAATGTATTTCTTTAAATATTTTGATTTTTAAAATCTTTTCCAATTTAATATATAAAACATTTTACTTGCCATAACTGAGAATTTATTTTTTGTCTCCCTTGCAGGTTGTACAGGAGGCTCTTGACCAAGCACGAGAAGGTCGAACTTGCATTACCATTGCTCACAGGCTTGCCACTGTTCAGCAAGCTGATGTAATTTGTGTGTTGGAACGAGGTGTTGTGGCAGAAATGGGCAACCACCAACAACTTTTATCTCGACGAGGACTTTATTACCAGATGCATCAAAAGTCTCTAGCCTCTACAACATAGTGGCTGGTTGCCCCAGAATGTTTTTAACTTGCATCAAGTTTTGTGCCAATGACTAAGATAGTAAGCTTTATTTTAGCTTTTTGGAGTAAATGAAGTGGAATGAGGCCTGCATTGTTGGGTTCCTAATAATGTTGTAGTTGCAGGCTTTGTAGAAACTGCAAGACAGATTTGATACTGTATAAAAGTGCTGGTATCATAAGATGAGAGATGATGCTTAGCATACTTTGTTTTTGTGTTCATGGAGCCTTCATTTAATGTAGTTTCTCAGTCATCTTTTGCGTGCCTTACAAATTAAGACTGCAAGGTAGAGTAACACAAGTCAATAAATTGTATCACCAAGACAAGTGTTTTTTTCAACCAGAGAACTTCATTGGAGCGGACATGTATTCACCACTTGCTTATGAAGGTGTGGAACTGGAAGATAGCTCAGGGATGAAGAAGCAAGCATAGTGTTACTGTATATTTTATGAATCTTAAGCACTATTGCTATTTGTTACTGTGTTGATCTTTTGTTATGAGAAAACTTTTCATATTTCATTTTAAAATAGAAAGTGGCAATCTTTATTTATTACTTTCAAATTGTCTTCAATCTTCATATTTATCACCAACATCTCATTGAATTTTTAATTTAACAATAAAACCTTTTTTATAATATTCTTCCATATTGTATATTTATTTATCCAAGTAAAATGTTGTCTAAATGCTTCCCTTTATCACACCCAGAGCATACTCTGTATTGTCCATTAAATTACATAGTTTTAAGGTCTCAAAAAATTGTAACCTCCTGCAAGCGGTGCAATGACCATTAATTCTATCTTGATGAAAGACTTAAGGCATTTGAACTTGTGCCAAAATCCTAGGAAGATTCTGTTTATAATTTTATATTTATATATATATATAT